AAAAAAAAAAGTTCACCATCACTGCAGATTGAAACCTATGTTTAGAAATAGAGCCACAGTATTTATGCTTCAGGAATGCAGCCATGGAGGTAGTTACTCATCCTGAGGAATATGCTGCACGATCATGCGTGCTCATGTGTAGACGGTTTAATGACTTGCATATGATGGGTTTTATGTGATGTCTCCTGTCTTAGTGATCCTTGGGCCAGTGAACGGGAAGGGCATCATCAGAGGATGCTGCAGCCACCTCATCACCCCCTTGGGGCAAGAGAAAGTAGAAGCAATCGAAGGGTTTACAGCAGTGAATGAACAGGGGAGAAAAACAAACTGATGGGGAGGAAAGGGGGGTGTTGGATGTGCTAGGTGATTTCCATTTGCCTTTCTAGGTCCCCTCTCCTTCTGATCTACTTGCTTTTTGCTCTATGAGGCTGTATGAACTACATGTACTTAGTATGGGTTATATCAATGACCCCCTCATCTGGCTCCTGGTTGGGTTCAGCCAGTGGGGTAGCAGCGGGAGATCAGAGGGAGGAGAGTGAGGTGGAGATATTTATTCCCTTGACTCCCTGAGTCTCCACCATTTGTGTCCCTAGACTAGAGGGCCTAGCTAAGCCTCTGTCAGCTGGCCCTGAACCTTCTCTGTCCCTGGATCCTTCAAGCCCAGGTCTGACAATGCACTTTCTACTTGTCCCCAGAGATAACCACATTGTTCCTGTGTTCTCTGTACCCTGCACACTCCTTTGCACACAGCCCCTTCATTAAACTTTCCTGGAGCTGCCTAGTTTGGGTGTATCATCTGTTTCTTGCAGGACCTCAACTGGGACGTCTGCAAAAGGTATAAATCAGCCAGATACGGGGACAGGCTATATTAAGTGCTCATTCCAGCGCTTGCAGAAATAATTTTCATAACCAGTTCTGGGCTTGACACTGCATATGAATTTTTGCCAGTTGTGCTGATCAGCACAGATTTACTCAGAACTTTATTTTTCCAGATGGTCAGTTTTAAGCAGGAGATAAGACTAGTCTTGCATTGTTAGTTTCTCACATATGTAAATTATAACTATTCTTTCAGAAAGGTGTATTTTTGTTTTTAGCACTCTGCTTAGGCAGTCAAATGAAGATATGAATACTGCAAGGCAACAACAGTTTTTATATACCACCTAGGGGGCAGGCCCTGCGCTAGGAGGTTAAGGGTCAGATAGACCTGGGTTCTCGCTTCCCCCCCACTTGGCTAACATTGTTAGCCTGTCACCTCCAAGGTGCCTGAGTATCAGCACCCACCTTGAAGTGTTGTGTGATGATTAAATGGGAATAGCATGTGGAAAAGCTTAGTTTGCCACCGTGCCCCACACATAATAAACACTCTCTAAGTGGTAGTTATTATTAAAAACTCTTATTAAATTTGGGAACTGTATTCAGGTTCCATGGATGAAAGATTTATTTATAAGGTGGTTTCCAGCCTTTATTTATAAAGGAGGGTGCTCCATCCTGGAACAAACGTAGCTGTTTGCATATGTTCTGTACCCGGGATGTCTTTGAAGCTTCCAGTTCTGGTTCATTATTAATATAAACCCAGCAGTTGGATGGTGGTTTATGGCAAGTCCCCAGCCAAGTGAAATTAAAGAGCTGGCATTCCTGGGGGCGGGTGTTGGTCCCTGGAGGTGGAGGGTGGAGGTGTAAAGCTGTCTTGGGCACAAAGCTGAGCATGTGTTTTTGTCCTCTGGCTTGCTGACCTGAACTTGGAGTCTTGCTTTCTTTTCCCTGACCCTGCGAAAGGAAGGCTATTAAAATGAGTTGTAAAACTAGGAGGAGGAAGAAAAAAAGGGGCAGGTCTGAGGAAGCTGCCCTGATGGGTGGTGATGTAGAATGTGCTGCTCTTCCAAGCTGTTCATTAGGGAAAATGAGGAAGTATTTTATCAAATGAGGGGCTACGAGGTAAATTCCAACAGCTCTTTTTATTTTATTATTATTTTTTTTATTTGAGAGAGACAGAGAGAGAGCGTGGCAGGAGGGGCAGAGGGAGAGGTAGGGAAAGAATCTCAAGAAGACTCTATGCTGGGCGCGGAGCCTGATGTGGTCCTCCATCCCACGACCCTGAGACCATGACCTGAGCCAGAATTAGAGTGCGACACTTAACCAACTGAGCCACCCAGGCGCCCCCCAGCAGTTCTTAATATTTTCTTACATGAATATGACATGATCATTTTGAAAATTAAGAGAGAATTAAACCACCCGAAATCCCCTACTTATAGATTACCATTATTAATGTTTTTATGTATCACCTAGTGGATTTTTTCATATGCGTCTATATATATAAATTCAAAATAGAATTATGTGATACTGTGGCTCTGTAATCCACACTTCTCTGTTACTATATATGTCCTTCTGTGCCAATGGATATAAATCTGGTATTTTTAAATGGCCATTGAGTGTTTTATTATATGACCTTGCCTTAAATGCAATCAGTGCCATACCTTTGAAATTTCTAAGTTATTTCCAGTGTTTCATTATTATAAACCAAGCCCTGTAGTTATTTTCTTAAACAGTATTTGAAACTCTCTGGGTATCTCTGCTAGGTTTTTTTTTTTAATAGGCAAGAGCCATGCCTTGGACTTTTTTATATCCTTCAAAGCACCTAGCACAGTCTCCCAATAGGCAAACCCTTGTTGGATGCAGAATTTGACATTAAAAAGGATGAGAGCATGAATGTTGGCCACAGTTCCATTATTTATCTTCCAACCTAAGGCCATCACCAGCCAGCCTTTAAATCACATATGTTTGTGATTTCAAGACTGTATCAGACTTCCCATTACCTGTAATAATTATAGTAATATTGACATAACTCTGAGGTTTTCTGAGCACTTTTCAGATTGTAATATTGTATAGATCTTGGTATATGTGCTGCCAAAGCGAGCACAGTGATATTGTATAGATCTTGGGATGGCTCTTATTGTTATTCCCACATTGCGGTGGAGGAAACAGTTTAAGAGAGTTTACGTTTCCTTTATGCTACACCATGCTGCGTCTTTAACTTACAGACTTAAGGAAAAAAAAAGAACAATCAGATATATATGTTAACTGGAGCATTAGTATCTTATGTTGTTGCTTTTATTTTTTTTTTTTTTAAAGATTTTGCTTATGTTGTTGCTTTTAAATACCGATCACATAGAAATGGAATAAACTTTTTTAGTGGAAGTATTGGTAGCTACTTTGCAAAATGATATATATAAGGAAGGTTGCTTATCTAACTAGATTTGCTGGCAATGTTCAAAGTAATTAAAAAATTCCAGCCAACGAACTACCGTTAGTGAGGACATTTCCTGTGTCGGTAACTCCTCTCCAGGCTGTTTTTGCTTTCCAGTGACCTCACTCTGTCCATGGGTACATTTTCACTGTTTGGTTTCACTAAGGGAAGGATTAACTTATACTTTTCTTTTTCTCTACCTCTTGGGTCTTCAGCTATGACAGAGACTCCACTTTCAACGTGTTTGTGGGAAAAGGACAACTGATTGCAGGCATGGACCAAGCTCTGGTTGGGATGTGTGTAAATGAGAGGCGCTTTGTGAAGATCCCCCCAAAGCTTGCCTATGGAAGTGAAGGAGTTTGTAAGTTTTTGTACCATGTTTGTAAACACGTTTGCAGAAACAACCAGAACATTTGAAGGGTATTCAGTCAGGCAGATCAGAGAATCTTCAGAAGCTTTAAATCGAGGACAGTGAGAAGCAGTGAACACACACACGCACGCACACACACACACACAGAGAGAGCTAAAATTTCATCTTTGGTTCATTTCTTCTAGATATAAAAGAAGTTGTTATTAACACAGGTGAATTGAATGTCACCCTTGTTGAGAGGAAGACCATTTTTTTCTCATTTCTTTCAATTTTATTTGGAGGAAAGAGGGAGAGGGAGCATGACCCATTTTGGAATTGTTCAGTGACTCCCTTGAACACCTGGGCAGCATCCTAGGTGTTTATTCGTCTGGCCTGAAAGGCAGCAGCTTCTCAGTGCGAATTCTCTTTAATTTTTAGCTGGTGTGATCCCCCCAGATTCAGTTCTTCATTTTGATGTACTCCTGATGGACATTTGGAATTCTGAAGATCAAGTTCAGGTTCACACTTATTTCACACCTCCCAGTTGCCCTCGGACCATCCAGGTGTCTGATTTTGTAAGGTACCACTACAATGGAACGTTCTTGGATGGGACACTGTTTGATTCAAGGTAAGTGCCGCCATTCCAAGTAGTATTGGTGAAATGCCCCTTAGTTCCTTCTGTCTCCCCTGCTTTTTATGCCCGTGGAGAAACCAGAAGGGAGACTCTTCCCAATTTCCATTAATGTCAACTCCTTCACTCATGGCTTTTGGTTAATGTGTCATGCTCCGTAAAGCCAGAATCAAAATTTTAATACATTTTACAGAAACGTAAGAACAGTGTTTATCTAAATTAACTGTCTTGGGAGCTCATCATTAAGTGAAGGGCCCTATTTCCAAGTAGGTTGATGCATTTTTTGGGTCCATTTTTATAGTTTTCCCATGGAAGGAAGAGGGAAAGCCTGAATGTTTATGAAGCTATGGACAAGTGCTAGGAATAAGGTGCTAAGCTAGAGAACAGCGAACCCTTAGGGCTTTCCTGTTGTTATAGTGTATTTGGTTAGATAGAGTAGCAGGCCTAGTTTTCTGAATCACTGTGATTTAATTACACGATTTTCATTTCTTCTAACTTTGAGGACTTCTGCTGTCTTTGGGAACAAAGATCCAAAAATACCTGTCGTCAGGGATGGGTATAGTTTCACTATTTAGCTGATAAGTGGGTACTTAAAACCTTATTGAGGAATGAGTTGGAAACACCCTCAGTAGCATGGAACTTTCCCCCTTTCTCATTGGTTTTCAGTCATAATCGCATGAAAACGTATGACACATATGTGGGCATTGGCTGGCTGATTCCTGGAATGGATAAAGGGCTGTTGGGGATGTGTGTGGGGGAAAAGCGCATCATCACCATACCTCCTTTCCTGGCCTATGGAGAAGATGGAGATGGTAAGTCTTTCTCATTCTTCAAGCTACTCTTGTCTGTCCTTATTTTTTTTTTAAATATTTTATTTATTTATTTTAAAATATTTTATGTGTTTATTTAAGAGAGAGCGAGGGTGAGACCACAAGCAGGGGGTGCTGCAGAGGGAGAGGGAGAAGCAGACTTCCTGCTAAGCAGGAAGCCTGACTCAGGGCTCGATCCCAGGACCCTGGGATCATGACCTGAGCTGAAGGCAGACGCTTAACCCACTGAGCCACCAAGGCACCCCTAAAGATTTTATTTTATTTTTTTTTAAGATTGTATTTATTTATTTATTTGAGAGGCACCAGCCTCTCCTGCTTGCATTTTCCCATCTGTGAAATGAGATTTGAACTAGAAAGTCCAAAGGTTATAGATCTCAAGGTAGAAATTTAGTATATGATACCAGAATTGCCATCCCCCTGCCCCCTGATTTGTACCTCCACAGTGGGTTCTACCTGTGACATTCGTTCCCTCTGGACAGATGCAAAGCATCATGTTGGAAAAAAAACATGAATTCAAACTAGTGTCCTTTTTGAAGGGAGAAAACAGAATATTGGCTGGTAAATGGAACTTCGCAGTTACTCATATTTTAATTTCAGGCATATTTAATCACACTGACAGGCTAAAACAACAAGGAGAACCTCCTGGCATTTAAACAAGCACGTATATGTAGTTAAGAATTAAAATGGAAACATGATGCGTTTAAGTTTACTGACTGTGATACTGGACTTAGAATAACCCTAATGTAATGTTTTCCAAGCTATGTTTCCTGGCTGTGTATGTCTACAGAGCAGGAGGAGAGAGGAGGAAATGGGGCTCAGTCTTCTCCCCTGTCCACCTCCTCTTTTATTGCTGAGGATCTGCAGACAGTCCTTCAAAAAGCAGGGGTGGGGATTCCTTGCTAAAAGAAAAATAAAATTTGAAAACAACTGCTGTAAATATGTCTTAATTCGCCCCTTCCCAAGACATGTTGTTATTCTGATTGATACTCTGGTGGTCTCATCCTTAGCCAGTAGAAGTTCATTTCCCTTGGCTCTTAAATCCTTCTGATGTCATCCAGATGCATACATCATACATAATAAAACTAGATGCCTGGCCTAATTTGAGGAATATTATTTATTTTAAATAAATACTTAATGTATTGAATATTTAAAATAGCTTATTTGAAATATTTATTATTTAATACTGTGCTCAGCTATCCAGGTGTAACTGTGTTTGTTTATTTATTTAAGAGAGGGTGGGGAGGGGCAGAGGGAGAGGGAGACGGAGAATCTTAAGCAGGCTCCACACCCAGCACGAGTCTGATGAGGGGCTCGATCTCACAACTCTGAGATCGTGACCTGAGCCAAAATCAAGAGTCAGACATTTAACCTACTGAGCGACCCAAGTGCCCCAGGTATAACTTTAAATAGGTGAATATGTATGGTATAGAAATTATATCATGATAAAGTTGTTATTTAAAAACCAAATATTCAATTAGTACATGATAATGCTAGAAAAATTTCAACTCTGGAGTTACTTTTAAGGCTTTCTTTTTTCTCCCAAATTAAAAACTACAGAAAAGTATAAAAGATTCATATTCTGTTACACACACACCCATACACACACTTTGGGGATTGACCACACCTTACATTCCAGAGGCTGACTCAGCAGCCACTTTCAGCAGATTTTGTTATTCCCCTGAGGGGAAAGGGAGGGGGTGGGCTCTGCCAAGGAGCCAATTGAAGGAACTCAGGCTTGATGTGCTGTGTCACTCACTTGCCCAGGCCTACTCCTTTGCAAGGTATAACAAATGGCAGGTAAGAGTGTTGAGGCAGGTGGTTTGTCAGTTAACTTCCTTTATCTCAAAGGACTGGATTGAGTTATTTTTGCTTGATGTTGATCTTTGCTTGAGGAGCTAGTACCCAATAATCTCTTCATGTAGATGATCATTTTGCGGATATTCACGAAGTCCCCACTGTTGGGAGCATCCAAAAGAAGCAGTACCATCTAGAAGTGAGATAGAAGCAGTTTGAGGACTTATATTTTGCATTGTGGGTGCCATTTTTTCCCTCTTAGCTAGCTTTAATTTTATTTATATCTTTTTTTGGATGTACTTAATAAATTGAATTTTGCATTTTGCCTTTTCAAAAAAATTGGGCTGTTGGTTCCAAAGAACAAATCTGTGTAGTATTCTGTAGAACCAGGTCCAAGGTTTAGAATTTATGCCTTTAAATGTCTGATTTGCATTTGTACACAAACAGGAACCCACAGAAGCATGTATTTGGGTTTGCATGTGGGTGCATAACCACCCACATAGAGCCTTGATTTGTCAGCACAAGCATAGAAAATATAGTTGTAGTAGTTTCTTGCATGTCATTAATACTAGTTTGCTCCTTTTTCTGAAGAAGTCAGGCTTCAGATCATATCCGCCAGCTCACGGTTGGGCACCATGGACACAATGGTGACAGAACATAGTTGGACACCAGGGGGGACCACCCAGCATGGGAAAGAACATTTATTTCCTTGACTTGGAAACTTCAAGGAATGAGTAACACCAACACAGTGGGAGTTGAGTTGTTGTTAAAAGTACTTCCTAGGGGGGCACCGGGGTGGCTCAGTCCATTAAGCATCTGCCTTCTGCTCAGGTCATGATCCTGGGGTTCTGGGATCGAGCCCCGCATCGGGCTCCCTGCTCTGCAGGAAGCCTGCTTCTCTCTCTCCCACTCCCCATGCTTGTGTTCCCTCTCTCGCTGTGTCTCTCTCTGTCAAATAAATAAATAAAACCTTAAAAAAAAAAAAAAAAGAAAGAAAGAAACTTGTTTAAGTGGAGTCCGACTGAAAACCCTGACAGTCCAAGGCTTGGGTCTGTGCTTGAAGGAACTACAGCCCTTCCTTTTCAGCCACTGGGTGTGGGGTAGTCCAGAGCAGGTCACTCAGCTTTGCTCTGGGGCCCTGGATCATGCCCAGGATTCCTTCCCTCATCTCCGCCCCACGGTCACAATACCTGTCCCCAACTTCTCTCCAGTTGAGCTTTAGGATTAAGAGACCTCTTGCTCCAGCTACAGTCTGCTCTCCTCCCCAAGGCTTTGTTACAAACCCAGGTCTCTCAGTGAATCACCAGACTAGGCAGAGCATCCCGAGGCTGTGCAGGCTCATTCCAGAAGTTATCTTTTTAAAAAAATACTTGTAGACTCTCTTGCCTTTTTTGAAATTTCAGACAGTGAATATACAAAAGCTGTTTAGCATGCAAAGTGGTACATAGGCAAGTACTTAGAAATGGTCGTTCTTCTTGTTGTTTCAGTTGCTTTTTATTTTTAACAGCTTTACTGAGATATAATTCACATACCTACCATACAATTCACCCATTTAAGGCATACAATTTGGTGGTTTTAGTATATTCATAGATTTATGCAGCCATCACAGCTATCTAATTATAGAACATTCTCATCACTCCAAAAAAGAAAGGCTGAACCCATTGGCAGTCACTCCCCTCCCCTTCAGCCCTAGGCAACCGCTAATCTACTTTCTATCTCTATGGGTAATCATATAATTTGTGGTAAATCGTATCTGGCTTCTTTCAGTTAGTATAATATTTTCAGGGTTCATCCATGTTGTAGCATGGACCAATACTCCATTCCTTTTTAATGGATGTATAATATTCCACAGTGTGGCTGTACCATATTTTGTTTATCCATTCATCAGCTGATGGTCATTTGTATTGCTTATACTTTTTGGCCAATGAACATTTGTGTACAGAGTTTTGTGTGGTTATGTGCTTCTTTCTTTTGGATATATACCTAGGAGTGGAATTGCTAGGTCCTTTGGCAACTGTGTTTAACTTTTTGAGGAACTGCCAAATTGTTTCCCAACGTGGCTTCACCATTTTATACTCCCACCGGCAATGTATGAGTGGTTCTAGTTCTCCACATTCTCCCCCAACAACTGTAATTTTCTTTTTTATTCTAGCTATCCTGGGGGGTATGAAGTGGTATCTCATTGTGGTTTTGGTTCACTTTTCCCTAATGACTAATGATGCTGAGCATCTTTTTATGTGTTTATTGGCCATTTGTGTATCTTCTCTCATTTGCTTCCTTAGTTAGAAAATAAGGAACAATTTCCTGCTTGTGCTGATGGTAATTAATAACTCCCAGGAGAACAAGTTGTCTGATACTTTCTACCCTCTAGGCACGGCAGCCACTGTGAGGCAGTGTGGGACAACAGAAGACATTAGAAAGAGGCACTACCATCCAATCAGCAAGTGTGTGTGTCTGCCCCTTCCCTGTCCCTACAGCTTATAGTCCGGGCAATTACGTAGTGTGAAATGTACAGAAAGAATAATAGCATACACTTTTGTCTCACATGTAGAGTTCACGCAGTTCTTACTATATACCTTTCAATGTATGAATTCATTTAATCTCAAATAAATTCATTAACGTCACAAGACAATGAAGTAGGTACCTCGACAACAGATGAAGAAACCGAGGCTCACTAAGTTCAAGTAATTTGCTCAAGGGACTTGGCCTCTAAGTCTTCGAGTGAGGTTTTGAACTTAAGCAGCGTAGGGCCAGAGTCTATAGTCTGTGGTCCATAGTCTATGCATATATATAATGAAAGAAAGGCAAGAAGCTGTGGAAACACACAGAAAGCTCAACTGTATGTTGCGTGGGGTCAGAGAGAAAGAGAGAGAGAGAGTGGTCAGGATGGAATTCCAGGTTTGCAAGGATAAGACCTGAAGATGATTAAAACCGACCAGGGCTGGGGCGCCTGGGTGGTGCAAGCGGTTGAGCGGCTGACTCTGGGTTTCGGCTCAAGTCCTGATCTCAGTCAGGGTCATGAGATGGGGCCCTTCAGTGCTCAGCGTGGAGTCGGCTTGAGATTCTCTCTCCCTCTCCCTCTGCCCCTCTCGCTCATGCTCTCTTTGTCTCTCTAAAATAAACACATAAATCTTAAAAAAAATAAGCAAACAACAGCAACAAAAATTGACCAGGGCTGAGCGGAGGGGTGAGGGCTGTGGAGGGAAGAAAGGATGTGGCTGGTGGAGGGCAGAGCCGATGCAGAGGCCTGGCGGTGGGAGCCTTGTGTGGGGGGCTGTGAAAGCTGTTCACCAGGGCCTGAGTTTGGAGTGGGGGTGGGGGAGTGATGGACAGGGAAAGGCCAGGGAAAAGGAGGAGGCTGGAGAGGAAGGAAGGCTGGGCCCAACTTTGAGAGATCTTTTCTGCCCGGCTATGGAATTTGGACTTTGTCTAGGACAATGGAAAGCCATTGAAGAATTTTATTTATTTATTT